TCCTTCTGGTCCATCTCGTCTTTTTCTATGTATATTTGAGCAGCCCATTCCGTCAGATGCTGTCATAGGTGTCACTTTTAGATTAGAGATGAATGATAGATACTGCCCCAAAGTAGCAAAATATGCCTCTTATTTTTTTTGTTTAAAAACTTATTTTTAGTTCATTCTTCCAAAATTTTGCGAGTATACCCCAATATAATGCACCACTTTTGGGCAGTCCTTTGAGAAGATTACGAACTTGAACGATATCCTCAGGCCCGGGATAGGAAAATGGCAAGAGCCACGCTATCGACTCGTCTGCATCAGAAAGCCCACTTTCAGCAAGTGTCAAATAGCCAGTTAGCGTTAGCTAAAAACTGCTGTACCTAATAACTGAATTATCGTAGTTATGAATATCACCTGAGCAAAGATTAGTCCTATGATTTGCATGCCAAGACATAGGAAAATCAAAATAATAGAATAACGCGGTTCCAGCAGACCATAATTGGCAGAGAAAAGAGCATGTACGCAACCTAGATGAGGAAAGAAAAGACAACGTGTCTGCCAGGGATTTGCTTGGGAGCTCACCTCGACTCTTGTACCATCGCTCATGAAATTCTCCTTCTATGTCTAACTCAGCTAGTCGATATTCCGTACATTCCACTGAGAAACAGCAAGAGAGCGGATAGAGACATGCTACGTCTTCATGAGGACAATCGTTTAAAGTTTTATCGCGCGGCAAGGGGCTAGAAGAAGTGATCGATTATCGATTAGGTTCCTATGTCAGGCTTACTTGCTAATTCCGTAAATTTTTACACTGGATAAGTCTTGATAGTCAGCGGAGCCATTGATTCCACAACAATTATAAGCAATCTGAGCAAAACCGCAATAAATGACGGATTTTTGAATGCGAAATTTGGCTTTTATCGTAAAAGTCTTGTATAGGAAAGCGACTATCATCACTTCAGAATAAGATTCTTCTAAATAAAATTTCAGATTGTATGTTCTAGATTGGAAACAAAATTTCATAATCCAATAACAGATTGATATATTGAATGGATATAGCGACCAATATATCGATCTTAAGTGCAATACTTTCATTCTTTTCTTAATAAAGTTTTTGGTTTATATCGCGTGCCTCTTGATTGCTGCAAAGATATCATCGTACTCATGAATGTAGTAAGGGTCGGCCTTGGTCACGCGATATTGACTGGTCAATAAATTTTGCCAAACGCTGAAGTTATAACACATACATTCATTTCCCCCCGTGTTGGCCTATCGCCTCATCGTGGCGCGGGGGTGACTCGCGGTGTCAAACTGCGAAGTACATTGGAGGTCTATCCTCCAGCAGGGTCTCCCAAGCTGAGAAGGAGTTCGACGTTTTCGGTTTCCCGGATGCCCAGCTAGGAGTAGGCCATGCCAGAAACGCCACCGTCTGGCTGATTCAAGTCGCTAGGTGGCACATGTCTCCCACCCTGAAGGTCATTGCCTGTGGTGAAAGCATGGCAGGGCCCTGGCAAGGCACTGCTAATGTTTGGGGAGACTATTCATTGCTCTAACAGCATGTGATAAGAAAAGAAGCCCTGCACACTGGATCACATCTCGGCGTCGGATGTCATCAAGACCAGTGTTAGGTTGCACAGGACGCCATGGATTTCAGACCAAAAGGATGCGTTAACGACTCGCCAACTATCACGTAATCGCCTTGCAGGAAACAAAGTCCAGAAAGACGGACGTGAGGCAGCTGAGTGACGGCACACTCATCATTCATGGGGAGAAAGTTCCATCACGGAACGTTGGAGGCGTTGGATTT